ACGAATAAAAACATTCATTATTTGTTTAAAGTCATTTTATAGTGATTTTGAAGTGCAATAATTGGTAATAAATGTCATGTGTGTGTGTGTCCCCGCCATGCAGCCACTGCCACGTTTATACACAAGTGAAATATTTTGAATATTTTGTGTAAAGCAAGCCAATCAAGCATGACATTTAAAAAATTGAATGGTAAATATATAGAACGCATCAAAATTGTGCACCCGATATCTTGGTTGCACAATACAAACTTTCCACACTTGATCAGCTAGACAGTGCTCAAGGTATCTGGGTATGCTTGAAACGGTTCACTGGCTGGTCAGTAGTCTGGGGGCATTTGCAAACTACAATAGGCACAAAAGCTCTGGAATTGCAAAATCTACACTTAAGAAATACATCTACATTACTGTTTCGATCATGACTAACTCATTAATTCCTTTAAAGGCACAGTTCAGCCTGTTGAACGATGGTTTTTAAGGCGCATTTCAGCCCTTTAAATTGAAAAAACTAACTAGGAAAATCAATTAAGCATAATTCAAGATCACCAAACTTAATATTTTTAACATTTTAAAACCTTTATATTGTTAAAAACATCGAGTTTACTGATTTTGAATTATGCTTAATTGATTTTCCTAGTTAGTTTTTTCAATTTAAAGGGCTGAAATGCGCCTTAAAAACCATCGTTCAACAGGCTGAACTGTGCCTTTAATATTTGCATGGCGAAAAACAATACGAATATTTTCCAATATGTGGAAAACACCACATTTATTTATTAAGTAAACCCTTTAAGTAGCAATGTGCCCAGATAACCTACAGTAGACCATTCTGTAATAAATATATGTATAGTGTTTTACAAATAATTGAGTTTAAGTTTAACCTTTGAGTGGCAATGTGCCCTGATGCACCTTACTCAATTATTTTACTCTGTCTAATACCAGATAATTTTAATCATCAAGGGGAGAGTGCTGCCATGCAATTACTGAGACAGCTGTTTTAAATTAAAATATATACGTCTGGTACTTCAACAGGGCAGATCCTCGATGTCCATCTTGTAGAATTGAAATATCTGATGCAATGGTATGTTGTATATTAAACGAAATTTTGCAATGTTTTATCTGCTGGTTACTGGCGGTGTTCTTTAATATGACCAAATAATTTCTAGATTTTTGAAGACCATGCTGCGAGAAGGTTGATCAAACAGCTGGAAGTGAATTGTTGTAATGAAGGCTGTAGTTGGCAGGGATGTCTGAGTACACTTTTACAGGTACAATATTATATTTTGATCTGAAACCATTGAGTGGTGGCTCTATGGTCTTAGCTAGAAGGCTGTTTTATTGCGGCCAAAAATGGAAAAGCTTACAACAGACAGAATTTCTTCCTATTTGTTTTGTAAGAACGTTTGTAAAATCTAGCTATTGTAGTTGTTGAAATTGGTAAAAGCACAGTTAATAGACTAAGATAAAAGTGATCTGTGACGTTTTTATGTTTAGATGAATATAGGTAATGGGAACTGTTATAAATGGTTTTAAATGCACCCAATTGCTAAAATAACTTGCTAAAATAACTCGTTTTTTTATACACCTTGTATAAACAACTTAATTAACGTACCCTTTAAGTGGCAATGTACCCAGATACGCCCTAGCTACTTTATTATTTTACTCTGTCTAACGCCAGATTATATTACTGTGTGTCTTGTCTGTACTCTGTCTAACGCCAGACAATTTTACTCATCAGGGGGAAAGTGCTGCCACTCAATGGATTAATAAAGGAATAGGCCATTCATATAGGAATTTTTTGCAAGACGATCTTGCTTGTTCTGTTTTCGAAATTGATACATTCATAACCATCCTATTACGTATACTACAATTAGTATATCATACAACTAGGATCATCAGAATAGCTGCACCTTTTTGATCCGCAGTGGCGATAATGTCCATCAACTTGATGTGGGAAAACTTGAACAAAAACTTGAAACACTCATGCTCAAAGTTTCAACTTTGGAAAAGAAGGTAAGAACACATCATGATTGATAGTCTGTACCAGTACGTCACATTGATTTTTGTACACTTGTTTGATGGGTATAAAATAAATTACTTTTGTAAAAATTTTAGCATGAAGAAGATGCTAATTAGTACATTTGGTACAAATATAATCGGTATTAATTGCTTCCATGGTGAAAATATTAATATAGCCATGAATTTATGTTCCATTCATATGTATTCATTAACAGCATGAAGAAGATATTAAAGAACTTAAATTGAAGGTAATTATTACATGGTACGATACAGTGGCGCCGCCAGCTCGATAATTGGGGGGGGGGGCGAATATTCATATCTTCGTGTTGTGCATTATTAACTTCTTTTGAAATCGATTGTTTTTATGGTCTGTGAACACAAATATATGAATATTCGCCCCCCCCCCAATTATCGAGCTGGCGGCGCCACTGGTACGATATCACGCACATAAATACAGTAGTAATTATGATATCTGCCTACAGACCAAGATTGTTACAGAAATATCCTTACTTAGCTAAAATATATTCGCTGGTCACTTCTCCCTTTTTATATGATTAGTAAATTGCTCCAAAACCAAAGGTGATTCATGATTCATAACTGCAACTAATTATATTGGAAATGTAATCAAGTTTTCAAACAATTCATCAAATGACTTACTAAATAAATATTTACTAATATTGCAGCATGAAAATGAGATGAAGCAAGTCAAGACAAAGGTAAAAAAAGGTTTTTGACAAGTGTGAAATATAGTAATGTAAATTTGTATTTAGCATTACTGTGTCTTACTTTTTTGCAAGTTCTAAAGTGCTTTTATGGTTTATAATACCATTGTAAAGCACACCAAATGCTATAATTTAATTGGTTTAGCATGATGAAGATATAAGAGTTCTCAGACAAGAAATCTTAATGTCACGAACCACGGGAGCTGCGCATGCTCCACATGTGGAGCAGCAACTCTCACCTTGCCAGGAATCTGAACCGGATTACACTTGGAAGATAGCGAACTTTACCAGAAAGCTTGCTCAAGCAAAATCTGACAATGATGATGGTAGGATTGAAAGTGAACCGTTTTTCACAAGTCATGGTTACAAAATGAAGCTGTTGGTCTATTTAAATCTAGCGCTATATGGGTTCGCAGGCTACATGGGTGTTTACGTAATTTTAATGAAAAGTGTTCGAGATGGAACCCTACCCTGGCCTTTCACAAAGAGGTGCACGTTCGTTCTTGGTGATCAGCAAGATGATCTTAGTCAAAGACAAAACGTTGAGTTGGTATTAACTCCAAGTGGACAGGAAGCGTTTAAGAGACCAAGACTGCATGAGAATAGAAGTAGGGAAACACTAATATTTGTTAAACATTCAACTTTGCGTACTCGTCAGTACATTAGAAACCACACTGTGTACATCAAGATCCAGGTAGATCCATGACAAATAACCACAATTATATTTGGTGTGAACGCTCACCTGGATATAACTACATAGATAATGGAGACATTTGCGATAGTTTGAATTTTGAAAGCTCTGGCATTCTCCTGAAGATTGACACTTTTCTGATTGTTAAAATGCAATCAAAACGTAGAGAGTTAATTTAAAAGTAATATCAAATGTTGTGTTTTCTTAGCAATCTATTAAAGGTAGTTGTAATTTTTAATCTAGTTCCGTAGCATGTTGAAAGTTCGAGTTTTTATTTTGGGGGCTAATTTTCAGCCAAGTTGGGTACCGTAATTTTTAGTTACGTGCAAGCACGACAGGCTAATAAAACATGATCGAATTGTCACAGCAGTAGCGTAACTTCATATTTAAAGTTAGGATGGCTGACAACTAGGGGAGTCGGGTACCAGCTCGTTAGGACAGATTTTAAAAACAGAGGCTCGCATTTCCCTGCACTTTCTGACACCGAATTGAAGAATTTGGACAACAAGAATTCTGCAAAGTTACTTCTTAATTGGTTTTGGTCAGTTTGTATGACTTGGTGGATTAAAAAAGCTCACGCTTTGTAACCAAGACATATACGACTTAATCAATTTTAGCCGCGGCTTAAAGGCCATGTTACACGGTGCAATTTTTCTAGCAACTTGCAATGCAATTCTACTCTTGAGAGATGTTAATTAGTGAAATCAGTGAAGAATTTTCGATATGTTGAGAAAACATCAGCGGAGTGTAATGAAGACTCGTATTCGGCAATTTTACATCTCTCAAGAGTAGAATTGCATTGCAAGTTGCATGCAAGAAAAATTGCACCGTGTAACATGGCCTTAACCCCCCTGGAAAATTAACTTTAATACTTGACCCACACCCCCACTTTTATTTCTCGGGCTATATCCCCCTTCCTCCAATTCCGCCGCCCCTGCAATTACTAACGAAAATATCTTAACCGTTAGTTGCCTGACAATGAAACAGCAATTTGGAACTGACGTCTTATGCCGCCCCAGCATTTTAGACCAGTATTCAGTAAACTGCTCTTGTAATATTTTGTGATATCAAGAGTTTTCATGGTTGAGATAAGTGTTATCTCAAAAAATCAACTCAAAAGGGATTGATAACACTTACCGAGACCTTGATCATTCAGAATATATCACAAAAACTGCAACTGTTTTATTATACATTACATTTTCTTTAATTACTCTTTCGACAAGCAATGACTGAGTTTGTCGCACGAAATTAAACAACGTTTGGTTCTCAAGAAAGCAGTAAAAACGATTTAAAATATCACAATAGCATGCAGCATATATTAATCTTATTTACCTACTAAAGTTCCGATAAATAAAAATGTCTAAAAGATCCGCTTTTTGTACAAGAAAATTCACAACCATGTTTTTTCTTCTTTTTATTTGTGTATTTAACTGCCGCTTGCCATAAAATTACACACCTTTTATTTTATTGTTGCTCATATTTCAGTGTGAAAACGACATGAAGCAAGTCCAGGTAAAGGTAAGTTAAGGTTTTTTCCAGAAACGATACTGATTTTACCACAACTTCATATTTTGTAATAATTTTAAAATTACATATCTTTTCTTTTTCATTGTTGCTCATATTTCAGTATGAAAACGACATGAAGCAAGTCCAGTCAAAGGTAAGTTAAGATTTTTTACCGTCAAGATATTAATTTTACCACAACGTCATATTTGTAGTGATTTTAACCTATTAAGCAGCAATTGTGGCCTCTTACAACTTTGAAGCAATTCAAGACAAAGGTCAGTTTACCTTTTTTGAAAAGAAAAATATTAGGTGTAGTTTATGTTTCATTAAAAATTGAATGTAATCTTTTTCTGAACTTTGGAATTTTAATTGCTGTAGCACGATGAAGATGTGAAGCTTCTTGGGCAAAAAATCGATTTGTTACAGGCCATTGGAGCTGCGCATGCTCCGCTGGCAATGCAGTTTCCTCAACTACCCTTACATCAACAAGAACCTGAACCAGATTACACTTGGAAGATAGCAAACTTTACAAGAAAGCTTGCTCAAGCAAAATCTGGCCATGATGATGGTATAATTCAAAGTGAACCTTTTTTCTCAAGCCATGGTTACAAAATAAAGCTTCAGGTCCAATTAAATGAAGCGCCACGTGGTTATGCAGGCTACATGGGTGTTTACTTAGGTTTAATGAAAAGTGATCGAGATGGATCCCTACCCTGGCCTTTTACAAAGCGTTGCACATTTATTCTTGTTGATCAACAAGATGACCTTGGTCAAAGACAAAACATTGAGGCGGCATTGACTCCAAGTGGACAGGAAAACTTCAAGAGACCAAGACAGCGTGAGAATGGAGGTATGGGAGTTCCCCAGTTTGTTAAACATTCCATTCTACGCACTCGTGAATACATTAGAGACCACGCTGTATACATCAAGATTCTGGTAGATACGTAGAAAAATAACCATTATATTTGGCGTGGATGCTTACCTAGATAGAACTATATATACAATGGAGACAATCACGATAGTTTGCATTTTGAAAATTCTGGCATTCTTCTAAAGATTGACATTTTTCTGATTATTAAAATGCAGTCAAAACGTAGAAAGTTAATTTACAAGTAATATCCAATGTTGTGTTTTCTTAACAATCTATTAAAGGTAGTTGTAATTTTTGGTCATGTTGAAGATTTATTTAAATTGTGGTCATTTCTTAGAATATAAGAAGATTCTCAAAAATTGAAGTAAGCTTTGATGACGTCATATCCAACGTCTTAGTTCAAGTTAGCGGGAGTTAGAGTTGAGCGAGTTCGAGTTATGGCGGCGGAACAGGTTTTCTTTTGGGGGCTAATTTTCATCCAAGTTGGGTACCATAGTTTTTAGTTAAGACAAGCACGGCATGCAAAACATGATCGAATTGTCACAGCAGTGGCGTAACTTCATACTTAAAGTTAGGTGGGCTGAAAACTAGCCGAGTCCGGGAACAAGCTCCTTCGGACAGATTTAAAAAATCGAGGCTCGCATTTCTCCTGCACTTTCTGACACCGAATTGAAGAATTTGAACAACAAGAATTGTGCAAATTGGTTTTGGTCAGTTTGTATGACTTGGTGGGAGCTGGCGATTGAAAAAGCTCACGCTTTGTAACCAAGACATATACGACTTAATCTATTTTTAGCCTCGGCTTAACCCCCCTGGAAAACTTTAACGGCTTGCCCTGCACCCCCACTTTTACGTCTAGGTATATATCCGCCTTCTCTTATTCCGCCGCCCCTGCAATTACTAACGAAAATATCTTGACTGTTAGTTGCCTGACGATGAAACAGCAATTTGGAACTGACGTCTTGCAAAATATGTCTCGGCATTTTAGACTAATAAACTGCTCTCATTCCTATTTTACTGAACAACATAAATAGCTGACTCCTTTAATAGGCGTGAGATTCCTTGCCGCCCACCATCTTCCTCCCCTCACCTTTTCTGTGTGTGAACTGCGCGGCTTACTATCTTTGCCATCCAGGTAATGATTTTGAGATCAGATAAGAACAAAACCTAACCTGCGAACGGGCATACTCTGGTACGAAAAGTCAAAAACACCGTTCTTCCACGCTCGTAGGTATCCCTCATTATCCCCCCTACGAGCGTGGAAGAACCTCTGGGAAAGGAACCTCTTGTTAAATTCACGATTGCTTTTGTTGTCGAATGGGGTAGCAAAATTCCTCGAAATTGACAAATTCTCCAGAAGAATCTGCTAAATCGCACTTTTGCTTTCGTTGATGTCGAAGCAGTGTGCTTCTCGAAGCAGTGTGCTTCCCCGTGGTGGAAGGATAACAGTCTGCGACCATTTGTCACTAATGCTGCACAGTGACGTAGTCGTATAAATTGATATAATATTGTGCACTTCAGCACTTTAATGGCTTTCTAATTTTATTATCCAATCAGGTGCGCAACCTCGTTCCCAGGCTCTTTGCTCTTGGGAACTTCCCAAGAGCAAAGAGCCTGGGAACGAAGTTGTCAGGTGCGTTACTTTAAATAGAACTTATATTATGTAAACAAGGACAATAGACAAGGTCAAGCAAAACAATACAACGAAATCGAAACATAAACTCGCAAAAAAATATGCCAGATCTGTAAATTCTACCAAATTTATTCATCCCAAAAAATTAAATGCTCTTTTGTGTGGCAATGTCTGCCCAACAGCACTCAGAAACTTTATGTAATCGGTAAAACCGGTATACTCGTCTCGAAATTAGCTAAGCAAATTTATGCAAGTATAATTTTGAAACGAACCAATAAAAAACTGCCGATCATATTTCGTCGGTAGCTGTACGGCATTAGCGTCGACGTCGAATGACAGCAGACTGTAATCCCGCGGGGGATTAGGCAATTGTAACTGTAGCGAAAATTCAAAATGGTCGTGAGCCGACGGGTGTTTTAAATTGATTGACGGGTGATTTAAATTGCAAATTAATTAAGACTCACCTCACATTTTCACGACAACACCACGCTGTAAAGCCGCCTTATATCTCATTTGTGTCGGTTTTCTTTGATCGTCCGAGGTTTATAACTAGCTAATATACCTTGAATAAATAAGTACATCAAACTTTTCGACAAAACGCGAGAATTTTTCATCAAAAATTTTTCAAAATGACAAAATATGTTAGAAAACCTCCACAAATGAGATATTAGTTATAAACCTCGAAAGTCGGTTTATAACTGTATATTGCCCTCGGACACTGCGCGTCCTCGGGGGCAATATATCAGTTATAAACCTCCTTCTCGGTTTATAACTCTAACTTCTTGTTTATTGAGCCCGTGAACTATACTTTCCAGTTGATTACTTTATATTAGCCTAATATAGATAATCCAAACTTATAGATGGTACTCACTGTGCTGAGCGCCGACCCGATCATTAAGAAAACATTTTTCTTTTTCTCAAAATTTGGCCGTACAAAATTTCCGATCATTTCAGCATTTGGTCGGAAAAATCGGAATTTGGTCGGAAAACCGCCGACCGCCGGCCGTTATTTCAGGCTCTGAACAAGAGTTTGTGAACATTTCATGAACTTTTCAAAATAACATGAACTATTTCATGAACTTTGATTATTACACTCCCTCAAGATAAATGTTGTAATGTAAATTACAACAATTTCGCCGTTAAGGATTAATTTTTTTAAATAATTTATATATTTATATATGAATATTATCTTATCTCTCATTCTCTAATATTCCGAGTCTCCTGGATGAAATGGTCAGTGGTTCTAACATGGTTGTAATTCGTATAATACCATATGTAGTTGCTCATCTGCAAATATAAAGTGGTTAGCACTATTTTCCATCCAGCAAACTGCCCTATCGATTTTTTGTAGTCGTTTCTTTTTGGATTTTTTTATTAATTCGGTTTGGATTACATGGTTAGGGTTGAGGTTAGGATTAGGGGTTAGAGTAAGGGTAGGGTTTGGGTTAATTTGGGTTAGTTACATAGCCATTTGACACCTTTAACTATCAGAACTAGATAGACATTAGTAACTTAAATTGGCTAATTTACAGCATTATTGTGATGTTGTGTTAAAATTTGAAATTCATGAACTTTTTGTCAAAGTCATGAACATTTCATACTTGTCTGCATAAACATTTACAAATTTGATCTGGCAACGCTGATGTAAACTAAAATTCGTGTGACTTCAAAATACGAACGAACGTTGTGTTTTAGTATGGAACTCTTTTTTGAAACAAAAGTGTGAACTTTGCTTTAGTTGAATGCATAAAAAGAGTTCTAAAAGCCAAAACGATACTTGGATGTGATGTTTCAAAAGAAGATAATGTAAACTTGTTTTTTCAAGAGGTATTCTGGATGTTTTTTGAACCGCCGTACGCTCGGCCGTACGTGAGGTTCGATCGCGAACATTGGGATATGATATAAAGTTTCCTCAAGAATTTGCAATGTTTTCTCCACAATCTAGCAGCACTTATGACAATAAAGATTACTTAAATAATGAGACCTCTACCGGCGGGTGAAATGAGCAGGGCCGAAACTCCAAACATACCGCTATAAAAAGTGAAATTTGAATGGGCATTTTGCGAAAACATCCGACGATAGTACTAACTCGCACGGGACGAATTTTGACAAACATTTTTCAAATTAATACCAAGAAGTCATAACCAGTAATTACCTAAATATCTTTGCCATTTTTACATGTATAATCCAGCTTAGCTGACCATTAACCGACACAGTTATAAACAGTATATCGAACATAATTTATATTTTGTGATTTCAAAAAAAGTCATGCCTTGTTGTTTTATGCAGAATGCATGTACACGTCAGTTGGGGTATTAAATTGTTCGCGTAAAAATCTAGTAAAAATTGCCAAAATTAAACCCAAATTTCTCCGTTTTCCTTCGGTAAAATTTTTTAAAACTTTGCACATTTTTTAATATCGGTACAACAAGTGCAATATCCTTTTTTCTTAAAATTAAATCGAAGGGAAAATTTTTAATATTGATTTTTGACGTCTTTTAAATTTTCTAAGAAACGTATCGATTTAATTTTTTTAAATTGAGGGGGAAAAATCATTATACAAGTATTATCTTTTATGCAAAGTTTTAAAAAATTTCACCGAAGGAACTTTTTAAAATGACCTGAAAAAGACAAATTTTGAGCTTTATTCTAAGCATGCTGTTGCCATGACAACATATTTTTAAAACAAAAGTAGCAATTTGCAATGTTCAGGAGAACATTGTCAATGTGTCCAATAAATTTCGTTTTCATGTCATGTAAAGTAAAGAAACAGGAGTCTCCTGAATACTATAGTGTAGTAAATTAAAAAACCCTAGGGAGCCACCTTAAAGCTTTTAAAAGCGGTTAAATGCTTCTCGTAGGGTGATTGCAGTTTATTTTAACCCGATATTCGAAACTCGTGCAGTAAATGGGATTTAATGCAAATATAACTCGTCAAGATGGCGGGAGCTTACAGTAAACCTTTTAATATTAGTCTATGTTGGTATTATATAAATTAACAAATAATGAATGTTTTTATTCGTGCAATGGTAAGAATATTTTCATTCGGTGAAAGATGGAATGTTCCATTCAACTCGGCTGTCGCCTCGTTGAATGGAACATTACATCTTTCACCTCATTAAAATATTCTTACCATTGCACGAATAAAAACATTCATTATTTGTTTAAAGTCATTTTATAGTGATTTTGAAGTGCAATAATTGGTAATAAATGTCATGTGTGTGTGTGTCCCCGCCATGCAGCCACTGCCACGTTTATACACAAGTGAAATATTTTGAATATTTTGTGTAAAGCAAGCCAATCAAGCATGACATTTAAAAAATTGAATGGTAAATATATAGAACGCATCAAAATTGTGCACCCGATATCTTGGTTGCACAATACAAACTTTCCACACTTGATCAGCTAGACAGTGCTCAAGGTATCTGGGTATGCTTGAAACGGTTCACTGGCTGGTCAGTAGTCTGGGGGCATTTGCAAACTACAATAGGCACAAAAGCTCTGGAATTGCAAAATCTACACTTAAGAAATACATCTACATTACTGTTTCGATCATGACTAACTCATTAATTCCTTTAAAGGCACAGTTCAGCCTGTTGAACGATGGTTTTTAAGGCGCATTTCAGCCCTTTAAATTGAAAAAACTAACTAGGAAAATCAATTAAGCATAATTCAAGATCACCAAACTTAATATTTTTAACATTTTAAAACCTTTATATTGTTAAAAACATCGAGTTTACTGATTTTGAATTATGCTTAATTGATTTTCCTAGTTAGTTTTTTCAATTTAAAGGGCTGAAATGCGCCTTAAAAACCATCGTTCAACAGGCTGAACTGTGCCTTTAATATTTGCATGGCGAAAAACAATACGAATATTTTCCAATATGTGGAAAACACCACATTTATTTATTAAGTAAACCCTTTAAGTAGCAATGTGCCCAGATAACCTACAGTAGACCATTCTGTAATAAATATATGTATAGTGTTTTACAAATAATTGAGTTTAAGTTTAACCTTTGAGTGGCAATGTGCCCTGATGCACCTTACTCAATTATTTTACTCTGTCTAATACCAGATAATTTTAATCATCAAGGGGAGAGTGCTGCCATGCAATTACTGAGACAGCTGTTTTAAATTAAAATATATACGTCTGGTACTTCAACAGGGCAGATCCTCGATGTCCATCTTGTAGAATTGAAATATCTGATGCAATGGTATGTTGTATATTAAACGAAATTTTGCAATGTTTTATCTGCTGGTTACTGGCGGTGTTCTTTAATATGACCAAATAATTTCTAGATTTTTGAAGACCATGCTGCGAGAAGGTTGATCAAACAGCTGGAAGTGAATTGTTGTAATGAAGGCTGTAGTTGGCAGGGATGTCTGAGTACACTTTTACAGGTACAATATTATATTTTGATCTGAAACCATTGAGTGGTGGCTCTATGGTCTTAGCTAGAAGGCTGTTTTATTGCGGCCAAAAATGGAAAAGCTTACAACAGACAGAATTTCTTCCTATTTGTTTTGTAAGAACGTTTGTAAAATCTAGCTATTGTAGTTGTTGAAATTGGTAAAAGCACAGTTAATAGACTAAGATAAAAGTGATCTGTGACGTTTTTATGTTTAGATGAATATAGGTAATGGGAACTGTTATAAATGGTTTTAAATGCACCCAATTGCTAAAATAACTTGCTAAAATAACTCGTTTTTTTATACACCTTGTATAAACAACTTAATTAACGTACCCTTTAAGTGGCAATGTACCCAGATACGCCCTAGCTACTTTATTATTTTACTCTGTCTAACGCCAGATTATATTACTGTGTGTCTTGTCTGTACTCTGTCTAACGCCAGACAATTTTACTCATCAGGGGGAAAGTGCTGCCACTCAATGGATTAATAAAGGAATAGGCCATTCATATAGGAATTTTTTGCAAGACGATCTTGCTTGTTCTGTTTTCGAAATTGATACATTCATAACCATCCTATTACGTATACTACAATTAGTATATCATACAACTAGGATCATCAGAATAGCTGCACCTTTTTGATCCGCAGTGGCGATAATGTCCATCAACTTGATGTGGGAAAACTTGAACAAAAACTTGAAACACTCATGCTCAAAGTTTCAACTTTGGAAAAGAAGGTAAGAACACATCATGATTGATAGTCTGTACCAGTACGTCACATTGATTTTTGTACACTTGTTTGATGGGTATAAAATAAATTACTTTTGTAAAAATTTTAGCATGAAGAAGATGCTAATTAGTACATTTGGTACAAATATAATCGGTATTAATTGCTTCCATGGTGAAAATATTAATATAGCCATGAATTTATGTTCCATTCATATGTATTCATTAACAGCATGAAGAAGATATTAAAGAACTTAAATTGAAGGTAATTATTACATGGTACGATACAGTGGCGCCGCCAGCTCGATAATTGGGGGGGGGGGCGAATATTCATATCTTCGTGTTGTGCATTATTAACTTCTTTTGAAATCGATTGTTTTTATGGTCTGTGAACACAAATATATGAATATTCGCCCCCCCCCCAATTATCGAGCTGGCGGCGCCACTGGTACGATATCACGCACATAAATACAGTAGTAATTATGATATCTGCCTACAGACCAAGATTGTTACAGAAATATCCTTACTTAGCTAAAATATATTCGCTGGTCACTTCTCCCTTTTTATATGATTAGTAAATTGCTCCAAAACCAAAGGTGATTCATGAT